TGTACAAATGCCTCTCGTTTTACGGCCTTGCGCGCTAAATCGTGAAAAGTCTCTCCATTTATTCATAATAAAAAGTCACTAATTTTCTCTCTCATACTTTTTAAAGCTACTCTCTGTTGAACGGCGAACAATAATGGCGATGGCGAGTTGCGTAAAATCTCTGAATTTTGAAATATCCGTCTGCAACTGTAGCACAGATGCCTCCAAACGTCCTCCGCGGTTACTTGTCCCTTTCTATTGTTCTCACAACTGCACTCAGTATTATCGTTACAACAACCACTGTTGTCGGGTGGAGGGAGACAATTCGAGTCTCCGTTTTCTTCGTTGCCAGGCGAACTTGCGTCGACGCACTTGGACGACACCAGCTTGGAAACCTCGATCGCCCTCATGGCGGTCACTTCGCCGCCGGAGGACGGCAGGTCCAATCGCGCGTCACACAGCGCGCAATTGTCTTCCATACCTCGCCGCGGCCCGTCGACCCTCGGGCTTATTTTATCGGCCGTGCGGAATACGGTGGACACCGTGCCGGAGAACTGAGATTCCAGTTGCGTCGTGAAATCGCGTGACAACGCTTGTATGGAGGTGGCCGATGGTGGCGTGCCAGATGCGTGCATCGGCTTGACAGAATTTATCTTGTGGTACTCGGCGTAATAAATCAGCTCCTGCTGCGCGAAATCCCTCATCGGCTTGAGTATCTTGACGTCGGCGCAACGGGCGTCGCAGAAGCTCGCCTGCGTGGAGAGCTGCGCGCCTCGGCCCAAGCACACGTCCCCAAGCACCTTCGCGGCGATGTCCACGGCAGACTCGGCGACGAATATCTTGTTGCAATTCAGTTTCCGGGCTGCCGACAGAAGCAAGCACCGGCGCAGCTGACCGAGAAAATCCGTCCTCGAGGTGTCGTCCGACAAATTGGCCAATATCGCGCGCAGCCGACTGTCATTCTCGCGGTTTATCTCCTGGTCCATCGGCTTTACGTCCAGAGTATCCCCCTCGTTCAAAGCCTGGCTCATCGACACAGCATAACCGTTAAATCCAGAAGCCGTTGTTTCCTCGGCGATCTTACGTCGCAGCGTGTCCCTTTCCTCGCTTGTTTTCCCCGCAGTATCTGTCGATATTAGAATCCAAAGATAGATATTTCAAAATTTCATAAGACAAAAGATCCTAGACTTATGCCCGTTTCTACAAATGTAGATTAACTTTAATCCCAAATTCAACTTGTCTCTCTTTATCTATATACAAAAAATTATTATTGTTGGACAAATATGGACAAATAGTGGACAATCTAATGCCTGTCTCTTATACACATCTC